CGATCTATTCTTAACTAAATGGAGCTTGTGTGAACGGCTAATCAATACGAGAAAATATTCCACAACAAATGGCATAAAATATGAGAAAATTTAAAGGACAGTTCTAGGGAAAGAATTCCATGGAGATGGGGAAAACATACCACGATATTTCAGGCCCTTATGATCGATGAATGGCTATTCATACTATAATACTGGTACAAAGGAAATAAAAGTGGCAAAAACATAGTTCAGGGAGTATAGTATTTGTGAAAAGTGCTACAATATATACGTATGTAAAGTAAAATCTTAACTTGTAACAACACCTAATGTATCCTTTTTAATATGGTAAACATCCCTTTCTATTCTAAAATTACACAGCTGGCATCCAAAATGCAGTACCATGGAGAACAAAAGATACCAAAGCTATATTTACTGGATAAATGATACACGATACAAGGGAGGATTGATTCAAATTACAGTTCCGTTTCGACTTGCTAAACACAATGTTATTATGATTCTATGTAGCCACCATAACTGGCAACATTTGCTGGGAGACACCTTGGCATTGAAAGAAACAGGCTTTAAATATGCCCTTGGGGTATGTCTGTCTATGTTGCTTTCTCACGTTTCAAAAGTTCATCTGATGTAGATGCGGTTTTTGTATGATGGACCATTTGCTTAAAACTCCAGACCAGGTATATTCGATGAGCAACATATCTGGAGAAAAGGTGTTAAGAGACAAACTTCATAATTTTCAAAAAATTAATTTTAAAATTAAAAAAAAAAAAATGCACATTTGCGTCATTTAAAACATTTTTGTAACTGGGAGTATATGTTAATGATGAATGGTTGCGAATATAAAATGCTGCATAAAGACTTTTTATGGAAACGTAAGGTTGTAGAGTGTATAGTAATGAAATCACCGAAATAATTTTTGAACTCATGATATTAGAATTAAGAGCAACACCCCTGGAGCTATATTTTGGAATATAGCGCCTTATCACGAAAACTATGAGAGCCGTTACCGAGTTAATATTAGACCGTTACCGAGTTAGTATGAAATGATGTCTTATATATATATATATATATATATATATATATGTAGCTGAGTTTTGAAACGTAGATCCCCCGGTAACGTACAGATCGCGCGTGAGACATCATTAGGCGGATGCAAGTTTACTGATAACAGGTACTACAGCTTTGTTATATAGTAACAATCGTATTTAGCAGTAGAAAATTATGAAGGAGAAAAGTACAAAATTATGTTCTCGAATTCCGAAATGTTAGTATTAATAGTTAGCATGCTCGATGAATCCACCATCGAAATACGCAAATGTATTCGAGACAGAACTTCTAGTTGGATAATCTACAGCAGCGTTACATTACTACATGTTTTGATAACATGTGCTCCTAGATCGTTTACATCATGGGTACACCTGATGTAAACACCTTTCAAAATGACCTCAGAAGAAGCCCAATACAGTTAAGTCAGATCATTTCGGTAGCAATTTCACATTAAGTCTATAACGCATCATCTGTTTACATAAGTAGCATTTCATTTGCATACTATTTCCCAAGCTTTCATCCATCGGTAACTGTTTCGGAAACAAATTCCTTTTAAAGTATAAGGTATTTCTATAAAGCATTTCTCCCGCCTCCTTGGCGTGCCTTCGTGGTATAGTGGTCTGCACGCTGGGCGCGTATTTCAGAGGTCTGTGGTTCGATTCCCGGCGAAGGCGTTTGCTAATTTTTTATCTTGCCTGCTTCCAAAAATATCCTAATGTCTCTACAAAAGTTATTACATTGTTAATAGTTATTTGCATTGTTAATAGTAATGTATTATGCCCGACCCGTAAAGGGATCCATAGAGAAATGCGTTTCAGGATTTCTGTTGAAACTATTTCAAATTGTAGGTTCATGTAGCGCATAATTTCAAAATGAATTGATGACACATTTCGCATTCGCTATTGAATTTTTATCGCTATTTCTCATATTTTAGAGATGGGAATGCTAACTTCCAAACTTACCTCTGTCTGTCACATCTGTCAGTTTGTCTCAGATGATGGGGCATAACTGTTTTACAGTAGGTAGACACAACTAATATAACTCTAGCTTTTTACATTCAAAAGTTCTTCGCGATCTAAGGACTTTGCTATGTACCATCCATGAATTTTTCGATTTTACTGATTTTGTCTTCTTCTTATTTGTTCTTCTGATAATGTAAAAGGAACTGATAAAATTTCCACTTTTAATAGCATATTTTTAATGTTTGTTTACCTGATTTCTCTTAAGATACTGATGGATTTTGTTTTACTACTGATTCTTCAATCATGATATATCTTTTGTTGATTTCCTAACATCAAAATTTAGCATGTTCTTATACATCTGAATGACAGAACTATAAAAATATCTTACCTAATAGTCAGCCTATCATAAGCATGAAAGCAAATATGCACACGTCAAGACTGCAACTTGACCAGATGCTGTAAGAAGGATAGAGCTAAAAGCCATGCGTTTGACAATACTGCCAGCAACTTTCCTTAAATATCATTTCCGAGGCTTGAACCTGGAGACAAAGCACTAGAAAGTTTGAAACTTAGCTGAGTGTTCTTACAACAAATATGGATAATACTGATCTGGAAGTTTTGAGCATTATCCTACCGAAATAACCATATTCTTTAGGATGCAAGCGGACCATGCAAGGGTGCGAGGGATCAGACAGCATAATAGGGTAGCGCGTCACGTAAATGTCTACTACAGAAGCATTAATGTCCTTAAGGTGTCATATTAAGTCTACGTAAATCATCACAGAGTCATAAATATGAATAAAACAAACGTACGAATATGCATTCATGTTTTCATTGTATAGACTCCCATTAGCTCAGTGGAACATGGCACGACAGTTGACAGTTGAGATCAGAATCTGGACACCTGTGCGGCTTACTTGGACTATTTAGGTCTAGTCCAGGTTCCGCAACTATCCAGGGCAACACCTCATGGGCCCTATAAGGGCATACATTGTTCCAGATACATTTGGCCGCATAACTCGGTGCTGCTCGGTGTTTGGTCTCGGTGCTGGTGTAAGTCCAGTTCTGATGTTCCAGAGACAAGCCGATGATTCTTAGTCAATGGTAGTAACCTAGTATGATATTTGCTTCTATAGCCTTTGCCGTACCCTCTACTCTGAAGGGCTGAGTTCTGCTTTTAGCGTGGATGTGATCTCAGTTACATTTTGCCTTTCGATGGATGGTTATGTATAAGCCTAAAGAATTTTACAGCTACTCTGTAGAGACAATAAGTATTTTGAAGCAGGAGACTTGAAAAATGAGCAACGCCTTCACCGGGAATCGAACCACGGACCACTGGAATACGCACCCAGCGTTGCATACCACTACACCACGAAGGCATACTAAGAAGGCGGAGAAATACCTTATATACTCCCCATTTTAAAAGGTGACTGGGGTTTTTAGGGGACCCAGGCGCCAAATCCTGGGTGTGGAGAATCATCATCCACCAACCTTTTAGCTCGGGCGCCACTGTAGAGAAATTAGAAGTTTTTTGGAAGCCAAAGAGATGAAAAATTAACAACCGCCTTCACCGGAATCGAACCACGGACCTCTGGAATACCGGCCTAGCGTGCAGAACCACTACACCACGAAGGCACGCTAAGAAGGCGGGAGAAATACCTTATAACTCAATCGTCAAATGGTTCGTGGGTATCCGTCATTTACTCGCAGGACAATGATACGCTCAGCGCCGATGTATCGGTAGTACACCTTTGGTTAAGTTTCTATTGAGAGCTCTAGAGCTGGGGCCATTCCAAAGATGTTTTACTGAGAGAATAATCCTTGGTCAAAACGAAAACGTTTGTCACCACAGTTGTCCACTTTCTTTGACTCCCATACGCTTTTTTAAACTTCCGTGTATTCACCTAACTAAAGCTTGCATTCGATTTGTGAAGGCTTAAGATGTTAGTATGTACTTTTTGTAGTCACTATTTCGTTTAGTCATTCGCTACTGCATATATAGAGGTATATAAGAAATTGTTGAACAAGAAATAAAAATAAATTTAAGAATAACATAATTTATTAAATATGCACTTATAGTTGCTGAAAATAATAGAAATAAACTACTAATGAAATACTTTAAATGAACAGATATCTTGAAGTTGAGTTTCATTTGGACTGACCGTAAGACCTAGCAGTGCCAAATACTGTGGAACATACCAAACACGGATTTACAAATTATTAGAAAATTTCTATATAATAGTAATAAAAACAGCAATAATAAAATAACCGCAGGAATAATTCTGTATCCAAGTTACTGTGCTGCAAAATCAAGGGGAATTAGCTACTTTTTGATCAGGAATCTGAAAAATGAATACTGAACTTGCTAAGAATCAAACTTGCTAACCGTATGTGCCAATATGCACTCTAAGTTACTAATAACATAGTCACTACACCATGAGAATACAAGAGAGAAATGTCTCTAATTCTCTGCGTAAGTAAATGTTTCATTAGCAGAGCTGTAATGGGATTCACTTTTTAATATTGTCTAATAACGAATTAAATATTTTGCGGATATCACAGGATTGTTTTCATATTACGCAATTCCCGTAAGTCGGCGAAATAAAAAGCCATATGTGATAAGAGCAGACATTCTCGTAAACAAATGCCACGTGAAAAATTGTTTATTCACAATGACGGAAAAAAAGACAAAAAAAAAAAAAAAATCATTTTAAGGACTGCTAAATTTACGTTTTTTCATAATTTTAAATGAACAGCACCATATATTATTAGTTATATTGCTTGCGTGTGCGGTATACATTTCATTAACACTCTGCTTCGTATTATAAAATCGTTTCAATTAACACCGTTTTCTAATAACAGCGCTTCATCTAGGAACGGTAATCCCATGAAAATTGAAGGCTACCTTTATATCGCACATTAGGAAGTTTTACCAAGTTTGCATTATTAAATTAGAAACTAAATTATGCGTTAGAGAGAAGTAAAGTTATTTACCTGATCGAACCATTGCCTCAGGGCCCCTGAGCGACGATATGTAGTGTGGTAACAGTTGAGAGCATGATCATAACGCTGAGGTGTCTGCATATCTGTGAAAATGAAAGTTACAGCCTGAAAAAAAAATTATATCTATCATTATTTTGACAACGAATGACACATTCATGAATAAAATTTATCCGAAAATAGAAATTATTAAACTGTGCTAGAAAATAGCAAATGAAAATTTTGAAATGGTTTATTTTCTAATCAAGAAGACTCGGAATAATCACTTGAACAATTAGAATGTGATGAAAGTACCTTTTATGGTTGGAAACATTTTCATTTAGCAATTCATATACAGACAATTAGATTTCAGTTGATAGGTTTAACTGAGAATTAAAAGCACTTATGCGTATAAAAGTAAACAGTCTGTATAACTGAAATTAGTAACTTCTTGAAGGTACTTTCATCTATTACCTCGCTTATAGTTTTTTTAAGAAGTCTGAATATTCGATACTTAGTTGCTGGTAGGCTGAACGGTGACTGAAATATAATGCAAAATAATGAATAAAGAATAAGTATTTTCATAGAAAAAGTATAACTGCTCATTTCTTTCTTTCTTATATATACATTGTTTTTACATATAACGTTTCAAACATTTTCTAAAATTATACGCAGCATTTTCCAGTACTTATAGTTTTGTTTGATACGCATTAATAATATTAATTGGAAAATTCACAATTCCTTCTTCAAATGAAAATTTAACTTCAATCATGCGTTTAAAATATTGAGCTGTTTTAAATTATATATTGGAACCTGAAAAGTAGCTTGGATTCAGTCTTTGCTACGCATAATAATTTTGTCTAAATTCATATATGTTTTGTTTACACAGCGAGAAAAATTATAAAGACATTTCTTATAAGAAACTATTAAATACTGCATATATACATCCATGTTTCCCAACTGCATACATGCATCCACATTTCCACTCTCTCAAGGCATACATGCATCGTTTCCAATCGTCGAATAATGTGTATTTAACTTTTGAGCGAAATCTCATGGTTTGTGGTGAGTCTGATTCATTTAATTTCAGCTCACACTAGGTATTCTCTAAGAAGCTATGTAAATCAAGCTAAAATTCATGTTATACAATCAAAATTTATTACACTAATGCACCCAACTCTGAAATGTTACGCTGAAGTTTCTTGAGTTGGCTAGTACGAACCTGAATTTTGATTTTTGGACTTCTCTGCGAGATCAGTCTGTTTCAGTCCAATGAGCCTTCGGGTAAGTTTCGGAAAGCATGAGACCTGAAAGAATCAGGTTCTTAACATTAGCGATGTGATCGAATGATATCTGCTGTCTAGTGCCGTGTATTTTGATTGGTTTCTTCGATTCCATTCATCCATTTGTTTGCTGCAACAAAGGTAAAGTGCAATTCATAATATTTTGAAATATAACGTAAGTTGGACAACATTACTAAGATCTGGAATTTGGCTGAAATTTCAATTTAACCCTGTCTATATGTGCGGATATTTAACTTTACGACTGAGCTACTGAATGGTATCAGAAAATTTCTGTTAAAAAATAACACTGGAAGGTTTGACTTTGAAGCGGAAAATGAATGAACTTCATTTCTACGCAGACCGATGGAATGGGTCCATGATAGCTACGTAGCACTATGTGGTAGTAAAAAATATTATAATATTTTGTATTTGGTGCATTATTCATTTTGTTTCATTGCAGCCCTATCTAACTAAATTAATAACATACATAATAAGGTAAAAAATTTTCGAAATTTCAATCTTTAGGCAATTTGAATATAAGATGACGGGTCTTTAAAACAGACATATTACATACAAAATTATAAGTAATACATATACATGAAATAGGAATAAATTTATGCATTTGATATTTCATTTCATTTGAATATAAATTCCAGAAACTATCATAAGTTTAGATCACGAAGATTCAAAGTATAGTCTAATTTCAAAGACAATCCGTAGCCTTTTCTTACTTCTTAAGGTGTTTACAAGCATAATAAAAAAAAAAACACATTAAATTTGAAGATGTGAACTTTGAAGTCTGAAAATACTGAGGTATAAAAAACTCAAAATTTGTTTAGCATGAGGAAAATAACGAAATGTTGTTAGTTGCTATGCCAACAAAGAGAAATATAATTTTTCAAGTAGCCACCAGAAAATAATGGTTTTATGAGAAGAACTATACACAATTTACCTCTGTGCTCCTTCGTATATGCAAAAAAACTGTTCAAATTTGCCTTAACATGAAACCTAATTGACATAAACACGAAAGAACTTGCTTTTGCTGAATACAGAGAAATGGAACTGATGATAGAAAAACAATATTTTCATTAGCCATACATATTCGAGAAAGAACTTATGTGTGAAACACAAGGCAAAAAAATAAGTAACGCAATGAAACACAAAATTCTTGCTTTATTTTCAGAAACAGAATGGAATATATGCAAACAAAATAATATAAACTGTTTGTTTTCCCAATTAAATCATGAAAACTAACTTGCTGATTTAGAAAACTATTTTTTTGTTTAAGCAGAAATCAAATATCATCATTTTTATAGGATACGAAACATACAGGGTGATCAGCGAATAAGCCCCGATTTCAAAATTCAATATCTCTACAACAAAGATCGATAAAATTATGCGGTAAACTGTACGTTTATTAGCAAAACTGTAAAAATGGTGTACAAAAGTTTATAAAATTTAGTTATGAAAATCGTTAACAGATGGCGCTCTAATCGCAATGACCTATCAATAGCCTTTAAAATGTGCTTCGACGTCGAAAGTGAGCAGTACAACTGTTGGCTAGTGAAAAGAGGCTAGCGTAGAAAGTGAATAACGTAGTCCATTGAACAACGTGTATTTTGTTTCTGGAATTTCGCCGATTAGAACACAGTCCTACGGCAACACGTCGCAGTTTTCAAAACCGATTTAATGTTCCAGTTGGACCCGATGCGAAAACCATTCGCATGCTCTTCGCGAAATTCGAATGGACTGGCAGCGTGGCTGATGATTGAAATGGAAATGTTGGGCCTAAGTAAACTATAGTCACTCCTGAAAATGCAGCTAAAGTTTCTGGGATTTTTCAGCAAAATCCTAGGAAAAGCATCCGACGGATTGCATCAGAGACAGGTTTGAAGTACACGAGCACACAAAAAATATTTAAAAATAGCCTACGGCTGTTTCCATACAAAATCTAAAGTCATCAGGCCATATCCATGAAAGCTGTGCAACAAAGGGTTGACTTTGCGAATCAGATTCTAACAATGATCGACAACGACAGATTTGATGTGAGCTGCATCTGGTTCACAGATGAGGCACATTTTCATTTGAATAAACAAAACGAAAATCCTCATTTGTGTGAAGAAAAAACACTGCATTCGCCTAAGGTTATGGCATGGGCTGCGGTATGCATTATCGGACCCTTTTTCGTACGAGAAACGATAACTACTGAACGTTACGTTACAGTTTTGGAACAATTTGTCAGCACTCAACTAGCGTTGGAGGATCGACCAGGTATCGACTGGTTCCTGAAAGATGGGGCTCGACCACATCGAACAAATAAATTTTTCAGTTTCTTCGTGAATACTTTGGGGTTGCGTTAGATTATCCTCAATTTACTGACACAGGAATAGCTTGGCCTCCATATTCTCCCGATCTGAGTCCTTGTGACTTCTTTCTGTGAGGCACATTGAAAGACGCTGTCTATCGAAACAATCCTGCTACTCTAGATGAGCTTGAATCGTTGATTGGTGTTGCATGTGATTCCATTTCTAGATACTCCTAGAACTAAAGCATAGCAATTAATCTATTTATGAAGCGAAAAAATAAAATCGTCTATTTCTTGATTAGGTAATTACACATGTGAACACATGACAGTTACCTAACAAAGAAATGTAAGTAACGTGAATCCACGAATCTGGGACTTTATGACTGAATCTATACTCTTATTACACGAAGAAACATTTTTATTATTATCATCATCATCATTATTATATTGTACAATTCGTATGAAACAGATGTTCTTTATTACTTATTTATTTCAGCGAGAATAAAAGTAGCAATGATTTTTTGCATCTGAAATGAGATAGACATTTGAGAGAAATTAACTTAGATTATCTATGGAGTATCTATTTATTACAATAAATGCTGAAAAGTCTCTTAGCTCAGCTGCATTGAGCTGGAGCTTCAGTTAGTCGGTTAATGTCTGCTAAAAGTTAGCAATTTGCATATTTTATCGTAAACCTTGGGGCATACGCAATTTCGTCAGACTCTGATGATAACTTACTAGAGCGTCGCGTTTTATGTTATAGAGCAAATGCTTTTACTAACGAAATGTAATTTTAATGTACTTCTTCCCTTTCTTCCTCTTCTCGCCATCCTAGAATTTATGTAGACTGAGTGGCAAGCAGTTTTACTGTGGAACTTAGGATTTTGCTAATAGGAGTGGGGGAATTAAGCCTATGTTTCGCTGCCCTGCCGGATTGAAGAAAATAGTCTACACTCTAATACTGGACTTGCTAGGAGTACTTTAGATCGAGGTTAGATCCTGTTTTGGCGAGTGTGTTTTTGAAATTCTGTCGTGGTCTAGGAATCTTGTAGTCTCTGAATCAAATTAAATTAAATTAGTTGCATTACTCTTTGTGAAAGGAAACTTGGATTTTTAAATCAGGTACAGGCTGGCTGGTAAATTTGTGTTTGTATATTTTGATTTAAGCACTGACAAGTGATGAGGCAGAATAAACTTAAATTGCTTTAATTCTATATCTGTCACTTTTATTAGTAGGTATTCTGGTGAGGATAATTAACATTATAGAACAGATATAATACCTTATTTATACTGTATTGATATATCTAAGTTATTTTTAATCTATAACAGAATGGTACCCAGAGTGGTAAATTGGAGGAAAACTGTTGCAAAGTATTTTATAGCTTTATTCAAAGTTTAAATGGCGCAAAGACCAAATGTAAGGGCATTATTAGATAGAAATGTGTTGACCACAGCGAGATTCGATCCTTAGCAAGGCAGCTCGGCATTAAAAAGTTTCGGCCAGTTAACAGACGCGTTTATGATGACGGCCAAGCCAAATA